TTTTTCAACAAATGCTCCTGCAGTTTCAGAACAAGGCGCTAGGGGACCCAATCTCATGTCACTTCTTCCCTACCCCCAAAGCTATCTACCAACCAAAATTCGTGACCCTAGCATGTCCAGAACATGAGATATCAAAACCGGAAGTTCAGCTGCAGTACCTAGGAAAGCCGCCAGGGGGCCCAAAATCTAATCATTTCTAGGTCTCATGAAGACCTACCCACCTACCAAGTTTCATTCCAATCCATCCACTGCTTCTCGAGTTATCTTGCTAAATTACACACAAACACACACACACACAGACAAACGCTACTGAAAACATAACCTTCTTGGCGAAGGTAATAACTAGTTTGAACAAGAATAGGAAACTGGGAAATCTAATTATATTCAACATAACGGAGGGAGTTAGAACAAGGATACATGTAGGTATATGTATTTGTCATTATACTAATTCATAGCTATATGTAGGTCTTGTTTGAATCATGTTTAGTAAATGACTAACATTCATTAGCATTTTGTTGACTAACTTTGTGTTAGGTTGAAAAAGCAGTACTTGTTGATGAAGTATTTTGTGTTTGTTGTTCAAACCTGTTTGTTTGTTTTCAATTTTTGTTGTGTAGTGACAATGACTTTGTTGAAGATGACACAACAGTAGTACCAGAGGAACAGGTAATACATTCAAATTTCAATGGACTTCAGTTTCTGTACAATCCCTAATGTTCAAATGACTAGCTCACAATGCATTTCTATCACTCATCCTCCATTCTATTAAAGAACTTTTCTGTTCAAAGACCTTTTTACTATTAACTCAATTTACATATTACATGCAAGATGTACCTAACATTTAACTTGTTACTTGTTACAAACTAAAAATGAAATGATCAGAAACAATTTTACATGTGCTGTAGCTCTACTTGGTACTAGTTTCTATTGTCTGTATCTCTATAGGTACCTGCCTGATGAATAAGGGTCTGCCAAAATACCTCAACCGGCCTCAACCGTCCGCAACCGACCACGTAATGGGTTAATATGCAGTATACAGTACCGTTCGCGTTATAGTTAACCGGGTACCCCGTTACTAACGAGTTATTTTTTCGTCAGAAAATGGTTAGAAAATCGTCAGTATTTGGTTAGATTTTCGTCAGAAAATGGTTAGAAAATCGTCAGAAATTATTTCTAACGCGTTACCGTTTGCGTTAATGTATAGGGTCGGATTTCATGTTTGTTTTGCGCGCCGACAAGACAATAGCAATTTGCCACCTCCTGGGGCGTCCGCTAATGTGTTGCGATGTTGCCCCTTGAAAAATAACAGCACCAGAGGCAAGTGGACATGTGATTCGTAAAATAACTTTGTGGTTTATCCATGTGTCGACTGTGTGAAGCGAATTGTGCTATCTTTTAATGCTATTCTATAGTTATTTCTAGCGGAAAATTACGTTGTGTAATACAATGTATGTCAACAAAGTGTAGCAGTGGGCAGACGATGTCTTGTACATTTTGTACCAGCGGCGGCCTACCGCTCTCACAGGACGTCATGGGACGTGACGAAACAAGAAATATCTGCCGTAGAAGAAATATAAATCGGTAACTCATGCCTTAAATTCACGGCGGTTTTTGACACAAAAGAAAAATTATTATAATTTTTGTAAGGCGCGCGGCTTACTAGTACTAGCGGCTTTAATACTCACGGTAAAATGTACCGTCACTCCGGCGCAAGGACTCGGTTCGCCAGCTGAGGACTTTCCACAACCATGATGATATCATAGGTAATAAAGGAATATATAATAGATCTATCATGTGGAAA